CTCCTCCTACCCTACTCCTACTCCTCTTCCTCCTCTTCCTCCTCTTCCTCCTCTTCCTCCTCTTCCTCCTCCTCCTCCTCCTCCTCCTCCTCTCCTCCTCCCTCCTCCTCATCATCCTCCTCCTCCTGTTCCTCCTCCTCCTCATCCTCCTCATTCTCTTCCTCATCCTCTTCATCCTCCTCCTACTCCTCCTCCATCCTCCTCCTCCCTCCTCCTCCTCCTCATCCTCCTCCTCGCCCTCCTCCTCATCATCATCCGCATCGTCTCATCATTATCAGCAGCATCATCAGCAGCATCAGCATCAGCATCAGCATCAGCATCATCGCATCATCATCAGCATCATCATCATCATCATCATCATCATCATCATCATCATCATCATCATCAGCATCATCATCATCATCATCATCATCATCAGCAGCATATCATCATCATCATCATCATCATCATCATCATCAGCATCATCATCATCATCGTCATCATCATCATCATCAGCCATCATCATCATCATCATCATCATCATCATCATCATCACCACCACCACCACCACCACCACCACCATCATCATCATCATCATCATCATCATCCTCATCCTCATCCTCATCATCATCATCATCATCATCATCATCATCATCATCCTCATCCTCATCATCATCACCATCATCATCATCATCAACATCATCATCATCATCATCATACTTATCATCAACACCATCATCGTCATCAGCATCATCATGATGATCATCATCATCACCATCATCATCATCAGCATCATCATCAGCAGCAGCATCATCATCAGCAGCATGATCATCATTATCATCATCAGCATCCTTTTCATTGACGCGGCACAAAAACTAGGATTGTATAAGGCCTCCGTGGCTCTGCCAGCGACTCAGCCCGGGCTCCTCCTACTCCTCCTCCTCCTCCTCCTCCTCCTCCTCCTCCTCCTCCTCCTCCTCCTCCTCCTCCTCCTCCTCCGCCTCTTCGGGGCCCAAGCCGTAAACGCAGCCGTGTTGCCCATCTTCCGCGCACGCTGACGGTGCGAGCCCAGCGTGCCACCCGCGAGGGCGAATGACCACGTCGCCATGAACGGGGCGCGATGCGGAGGCTATCCCTTGCCTCCTCCAGCTCGGCTGGCTGCAGTGCCAGCTTGGCAATGTGCCGCGCCGCCGCCTCCCCCAGTGTGGCAGGGTGCTGCGATGTCGCCTCCGTCAGCGCCGCCGCCTCCCCCAGTGTGGCAGAGGGCTGCGCCGCCTCTGTCTGCCTCCGCCGCGCCAACCGCCGCTACCCGCAGCGCGTGCTGCGATTTCCCGCTGAAAGGCTTGCTGTGGGAGTTCGAGGGCTGGGCACTCTCGTTCTTCCACCGCTCCCGCTAGATGAGCGCTTGCAAGTTCCGGGAGCTGGCCGCTGCCTGGCTACCAGTACCTCCGCCGCCACCGGGTGACTTCGAGTCCAAGGGCTGCACGGCCACGGCGCCCGTGCGGCAGGACCTCCTGTTGGGCACCGCCTCAATCGATGGCAGCGTCCGACCTCAGGCAGGACCAATGATGCCTGCGATGATAGTAGCGAGTGTGACAGGCAGCGCACTGTGGAAGGAGACGCCCACCTGTCTGTCTCGATGGGACGCCCCCCTGCCCGTCGACTCCGCAGACCAGAGCCCGCTCTCCCAGAGGGGCAGTTGCCAGGCGCCGCGCTTTGAATAGTCATCTTGTTGGCAGCGCGGACAGCCGGCAAACGAGCTCTGACGATAAGCGTCGACTTTCCTTTCGGCCCCAGCCCACCCCAGTGCCTGTACCGATGGGTCGCCCCCGCTCGCGCCCCTAGTCCCCTCGGCCTCGGGGCAGAGAGCCAACGATCGCGCCTGCAGGGCTGGTTCGAATGCGGCGGAGGAAGCTCCACTGAACGCTCAAACACTGCTGTCCATCAGCTGTGCTGCTGAGCAGCCCGATCGCTCTGTTCGGGAGCGGGCTGCTCCCACGCCGGAAAAGCTCTGGCTGCCTGAGATCCTTGCGCCAACGTGGAGGCTCCCAAGGAGCACGCATGAGATGCCAATGCAGACCGCCGGCGCAGCTCCTCCTATTTCCGCCTCCTCCTCCTTCTCCTCCTCCTCCTCCTTCTCCTCTCCCTCTCCCCTCCCCTCCCCCCCCCCCTCCCCCCCTCCCCCTCCTCCTCCTCCTCCTCCTCCTCCTCCTTCTTCCTCCTCCTCCTACTCCTCCCCTCCTCCTCCTCAAATCCTCCTCCTCTCCTCCTCCTCCTCCTCCTCCTCCTCTCCTCCATCATCATCATCATCAGCGCAGCAGCATCATCATCATCATCATCATCATCATCATCATCATATCATCACATCATCATCATCATCATCATCATCATCATCAGATCATCATCATCATCATCATCACATTCATCATCATCATCATCATCATCATCATCATCATCATCATCATCATCATCATCATCATCATCATCATCATCATCATCATCATCATCCATCATCATCATCATCATCAATCCTTCATCATTATCCTGCTCCTCCTCCTGCTCCGCCTTCCTCCTCCTCCAACTCCTCCTCCTCCTCCACCTCCTCGTCCGCCCTCCTCGTCCCTCCTCCTCGTCCTCCTCCTCCTCCTCCTCCTCCTCTCCCTCCTCCTCCTCCTCCTCCACCTCCTCCTCCTCCTCCTCCTCCTCCTCCTCCTCCTCCTCGATCGCTGTGCATCGCTGTGCATCGCAGGGCCTCTGGCGCGCCAGCGCGAGGCACGAGAGCACCGTCAGGAAAGGCGTGCTGGAGTACCCTACGAGAACGCTGTGCAATTCGGAGCGCGGTCAGAAATCGTCAGGCCTCCACTGCCCGCGCAGCATGCCTAGCAAGCCCCTGCTCTGCAGCCCCAGAGGGATACAGGCGAGAGTTCTAGCACAATGCAATCTCCCGCCTGCAAGACGTGCAGGAAGAGGCCATGGCCCGTCACGGAGCAAATAGTTGTTGGTTCCACTACATCAAGCGCGTCCTCAATCAGCCAACGGCGCGCCACTTCTGCGGGCACCTGATTCATGATGGAGATCGGCGCAGTGCTAAGATGTCCAAGGCAGGCACGGGGTTCCAATGCCGAGCTTGCTGTATTGAGGACGCCTCCGCAAGACAAGATTGCCCCGATTGCCTGGATCGATCGCAGATCACAGGAACTTCCCGACATCTTCCCAGTGACTGAGAGCAAAGCCAGTTGACTTCTCTG